AAAAAAAAAACAAAAGGAAATAACAAATCGCGAACGGAAGCGTCGGCGGTGGAGCCCAGAAGAAAGAGATTAGAGAAGAGTGAAGATGAGAGATGGAGCGTCAGCATCGGCGGCGGTGGACTGCAGAGAGAAACGGGGAGAGAATGGGAGACTGAGAGGAGAGACGGGAGAGTTTTGAATGAATTCTAGGGTTTAGTTATTCTATTTTAATTGGGATGAAAATTATATAATTAATATTAAATTAAATATAAAAACCTGATTTTTGAAATGTTAAAATGGAAAGTTGATTTGTAAAAATGGTATTTTAAATACCTGGCTGCCTGTAATTTCCTCTAATATTATTCTTTCTAAAAGAACAATATTAACTAGAATTAGGCCTGGGCCAAAAAACCGCAGCCCACTAAAACCGAACCGACCCGACTCGTATTGGGTTGGGTCGGGTCGGTTTTAAAATTATTTTGGGTTGGGTCGGGTGAAAAAATTTTAAATTTATTGTGGGTCGGGTCGGTTCACTACAAAACCTTTCAAACCGACCACAACCCTAATTTTTTGAAGCTTTGAAGCGACGCAGTCTACTGCATTCTTCTTCTCGCCCAGATCTGGCCTAGAAGAACACTGGTAAGTGCTCTCGCTCTCTCTATTGTTCTAATTATAACTTCCGTGAATGGGTAAAGATTTTTGTAATCGGAGCCCAAGCCATAGCAGAAGCAGGAGCCCTTATCTTGTAGATTACTCGAGGGATTCTAGTAAAGATGGGTCTCTTAGCCAGTGAGTTCTGTTGGGAAAACGTATTTTCTAGTGCTATTACCATCATACCTGACATGTTGAAGTAGTTAAATTTCAAAGTTGAAGCCATTCCTTTAATGTTCTGATAGTGTACCATTTGAGATTAAGGTGAAATAAATTATATGGGTTTCTAGTTTTCTGGATTATAAAGTATCTGAATCTGAATCTTTATTTTTATTTTCGTTTGCTTTTTTCATTGGTTGCATTATTGAGTCAGATTTCCTTATTGGGTTATTCTCTCCTATTTTTATGAACCTGGATTTGGAAATCTTTAAAGATGTATTAATTTGATTGTATTTCCTTTTGTTATTTTATTTTTTGCTTATTATTGTGAAGTTAACTTACTTTCAAGATTTCTTATTTGGGTATTTCAGAAATAGAAAAATTAAGATTTTCTGTATTTGATGTAGTTCTGTGTCATCTGAGGTTTCCAGTGATCTTATAATTCACGTGAAGCAAATATTTACTTCACAAGGTGAGTTTTCTCAAAATGTTTGTGTACTTCTGAATGTATACGTGAAAAAAAAAATGATGAATATGGATATGGATATGGATATGGATAGTGAAATTCAAACTATTGGTGAAACTCCTCCAACAATAAATTTAGAAAATAGTGCTACATCTCTTCCTCCACTTTCACAATCATGTTTAGGGAAAAGGAAAAATAGGAAATCTTCAGATGTATGGGAACACTTCACTATTATAGGAGATCCAAAAGATGAAAATGTTAGGTGTACGTGCAACTATTGTGGGCGAGATTATGCTTGTGGGGCTAGGAAGTGTGGGACTAGCACCTTGAGGAATCATTTGGTTCTTTATTGTAAGAAGTATCCAGGAAGGATAGAAGATGAAAGGCAAAAAAGTCCAACTGAGTGTGGTGGGAACAATCTTATTGTTGTTGGCTTTAATAAAGAAGAATGTAGACTTATGTGTGCTAAAATGATAGTAATTGATGAGCTATCTTTTAGCTTTGTCGAAGGTAAGGGGTTTAGAGAATTTTGTCGTGTAGCATGTCCGAATTTTGATCCTCCTTCTCGTAGGACTGTTGTTAGAGATATTTATCAATTGTATTTGGATAAAAAATTGCAATTGAGAAAAGTCCTCCGAAGTCAAAGAGTTTCTCTTACTACTGATACTTGGAGTTCCATTCAAAACATTAACTATATGTCTCTTACTGCACACTTTGTTGATTCTAATTAGAAACTTCATAAATATTTTCATATGAGGTGTTGTGCGCATATTGTTAATTTGATTGTATGTGAGGGATTGAAGGAAGCACATACATCAATTGTTAACATTCGCAATGCGGTGAAATATGTTAAATCTTCTCCTGCTAGAGAACTAAAGTTTAAGGAGTGTGCGAGTCAAGAAAAGATTGATTGTAAATTACATGTATTTTTGGATGTATCAACTAGGTGGAATTCAACATATTTGATGTTGGAAGCTGCTTTAAAATTCCAAAAAGCTTTTGAAAGGTTAGAGAAGGGTGATGTACAATATTTCAATTATTTTCAAGAGTATGATGGTGGTAGAAAAAGGGGTGGACCTCCTAGCACTTTTGATTGGAAAAATGCTTTTGTTTTTGTGAAGTTCCTTAAAGGCTTTTATGAAATAACTTTGAAATTTAGCACTTCATTGTGTGTGAGTTCTAATATTTATCTTCATGAAGTATGTTCACTTTTGACTGAATTGGAAGAATGGAGTAAAAATGGTGATTATCTTTTGAGTGATATGGCTACGAACATGAAGAAAAAATTTGACAAATATTGGGCGAAAATGGAAAATGTTAACCAATTGTTCTTGATTGCTACTATACTTGACCCAAGATACAAATTAGAGTATGCTGACTTTTGTTTTGGTGATATTTATGAGGATAAGGAAGCTGCTTGTAATATGACAAATATTTTGAAAGACAATATGATGTCTATTTACAATTGGTATGTGAGTTGTGAAGCTAGCTCTGAAAGCAATGAAGTATCTAGTGAAGTGAATTCTTCAAGTGAGGTTTCTTCTAAAGAAAGTCCTACTTCCAGTATGTCTTTTACTCGTGTTTCTAGGTTTATGAGAAAGCGAGCAGCAAAGGATTTAGTTGAATTAAAAAATGATGTGGATAGATACTTGTCGGATGCTTGTGAAAACATAGAAGATACGGATTTTGATGTTCTTAAGTGGTGGAGGTTTAATGGAAATAAATATGGCACTTTGTCCAAACTTGCAAGGGATGTTATGGCAATTCAAGTGTCTACTGTGGCTTCAGAAAGTGCTTTTAGTACTGGAGGAAGAATTTTTGATCTCTTCCGTAGTTCTTTAACCTCGAGGATGGTTGAGGTCTTGGTGTGTACTCAAAATTGGCTAAAAGAAACTCCGATCACAGAGAGATATTACATGGAGGATGTTGAGAAATATACCAAATTGGATAAAGGTAATATTGTTAATACTATTTCATGAATTATGTTAAATATATGTGTTTTATCTAATTGGTTCTAACTCAATAATTGTTTTTGTAGAGCTTTTCGAATTAGAGTTTGAATCAAGTAGTACATAGTTTCTTCCTCATTTAACCCAACGCATGTAAGTTACTTTTTTAAGGAATATGTGAGCGATTAACTATAATATTAATGTGTCTCTAACATTTTTGTTATTTTGTAGGAAAGATAAGCGACAATCGAAGATTATGATATTTTACTTTATTATTTGTTTTTGAATTTTGGATGATTGTAGTATTTTTATTTTATTTAATTAAGTTTAGATTACTGTATATTTTAAATTTTTGGATGACTGTAATATTTTATTTTTATTTTTTCGTGTTCGATGGAATTTTTATTATGTTTGATTTTATAAGCTATGCCTTTCTGATTAATTGAGGTGTGCATTATTTTCGTTAGTATGATTTTAATTTGTAGGAAAATAATGGTTTGGGATGTGGAAAAATTCAACTTATAAATCCAATTCTAGTAAAATAAATTGTGATTTATTCAATTTTAATTGATCGTTTATGATTTATTTAATTTTAATTGATTGTTTATGACCAACCGTCACTAAAATAATCAAGCAAAGCAATGATTTATATCAGCCAATTAAAGTTTGGTTTGAAAATAGAAATATTTTTTGTGTTAAAAAAAAATGGTAAAATCGGTCCGATTCAGCCCGAACCGACCCGAATCGGGTTGGGTCAGTTCTGACCGCGGCCCGGTTCCGGTCGGTTCCAAAAATATGTTAAAACCGACACTTTCGGGCGGGTCAGGTTTCGTCCAAAATCGAACCCGACCCGGCCCGATGCACAGTCCTAACTAGAATAAGAGCATCCATCTACGTGACATTACATGATTTGTTCAATTAAAAGTAAAATTAGGTAAGTTATTTAAATGAGCCCGTATTTAAAATCGATAAACTGTTGGCTCTTAGCATGGGCGAACCGCAGGAGTGTGATTCAGTGAGTACGTGACAGAATTATGTAAAAATTATGGGTTAAAAATTTAAAATTATGGACTAAAAAATTATAAAGACTACTTTGTAAATGCTAAAAATTATTAGCCTAGCGGGGGCAATTGCCCCCATTGGGTCCTTAATGAGTCTGCCCCTGGCTCTTAGCCTTTCTTATTTTCTTGCTTTCCCGCTTGGAGGAAGAGAAGAAGTTGTTACATATTCGGTTATGAAAGAAGGCAAGTCTACTGACTTGGCTCCAGTCGACTAATGAAAGAAAAAGCTTGCAGCGATTGAGAATCTTGAGAACCTTTTTGGTTCTCTGAGAAGGGAGTGGCTATCTACTGGAGCTTCAACTAACCACCACGGATCAATTCCGCTTTGGGGCCACCCTTTACTCTAACGTTATTATAGGGGTATGTGGTTCAAGACAAAGAAAGATCAAGGTAGCTTATCAGATTTTCCTTTATATTTTACTTTGATATGTTTTTATGATATTAGCTATTCTGTTGATTCTTTTACAAACAGGAACCAGTGATTTACAAATATCATTAACCACAGAATTTAGTGAGCGGCGCCAAATCTTTCTATGGATTGCTTCTTTCGCTGTCTGGTTTTCATCATTTTCGACAGAAAGAAGGGAGTGTTTTAATTTCCTTTGTTTGTTGAGCGAATCTCAGTGCCAATATTTGGCTTTCGTTTTGGCTTTTAAATAATCCTAAATCTCTCCAAAATCATGGGGAAGTTGGCAAATTATAAAGGTTGGGCACTGGATTTTCTTATCCATTTGTCATATGCCTCCAACCAATCGTGTAATAAGTTTTTTGATTATTAAAAAATTACACCCGTCCTTGATTTCTAACTTTTCATTTCAAAAATCAAAATTTAAGGATGTATTTGATTGATTTTATTTTCAACAATTTTTTTACTTTTGGCGTGTTTAGTTCTCATTTTTTCATGAAAAATATTTTTTTAAAAATTAGTCACATGATCACATTTTTTCTCAAAAACAAGAAAAACATTTTCTTTATTGGAGAGAATGTTTTTATTTTTTTATGCAATTCTCATTTCCTAAAACTCAATTTTATGGTAAAATACAACATTTCTAAGTTGAAAATTAAGTTAAACAAACACATTTTATTGACAATTTTCAAGCCATGCAAGTTACATGCTTGCAATAAAACATCCCCTAAGTTTCTTTCAAAATTTAGGTATATATAATACTTTGCCAGACTTCACATCAACCTAGCTATCACTTAACCCATTTCTTCCCAATTATCATGTCCACACCCAACGTCTTTCCACCTTCACTCGATGTTCGCCATCACACAACTCCCACCATCACGATCGAGAATGTATAAATACATACTGGTTGTTAGTGTGGCAGAGCAAGGTGGTTCAACGACTACTTTCAAGGCGTTTATGAGGACAAAGAGAAGAGGGAAGGGTGATGAAATGACTATTATGTACTTTACTATAGACCGTGGAATAATATTCGGTGGTGAAGAGGTTGACGGTGGAGATTTCTCCATTAGTAATCGGAGCAGCAATCGGAGAGGCATGGTTGACAACGAAGACGTGTAGCTTTAGGTAGTGCAGTGGATGCAAATCTTATGGAAGAGTACGATTTTGTGGAGGAAGTGCAAATTTTGGTTGTGGAGATGGTGGAGTGGGGTGCTACTTTCTAGTTTGTTGAGGTGGTGCTCTAGTTGTGGAAAAGGTAGTGATTTGAGGAGGAGGTAGAGGTGGTCATTGTGGATTTGAGGTGAATGTGGTAGTGGATTTGAGTTGGCAACGACAACTAGTGGTGCTGACAGTGGTAGAGTGGGGGATGAAATGATGAGTGATTGTGTGATCAATTGTGATTTGTGACTTACAGGATTTGTGAACAAAAAAATTTGTAGTATGTAATTGTGATTATGTGTGATTTTTGTAACTGCGATGTGATCATGACCACAAATTGTGTGTTTATTGTAATCTTAACAAATTTGATTAAATATAGGTCACGACATTCTCAGAGGTCAATAGTTCAACATTTAGGCCGTAACACCTCCTTCATGCCGATCGTATCATCTCCGGCTCTTGGTAATGCCAAGATTTGGAGTGGGAGTTGAAAAGTTAAGATAACAAGAAAATATTCTTCAGTGCAAGCAGTTAATCAACTTCCAGTCTTTAAGATATGCATTTTCTATTTAACAATGTGACCGCTTGATTTTTGAAAGATTTCATCAAGTTTGTTACATGTGAAAGTGTATTTTAAAAGTACATGAATTTTGTATTTTTCCCTTTAATTATTGGGGCTTATATTTCTTGACGGCCCATGAGGAAATATTTTGGGCTCTCATAGGTTGTGTCCTATAGTAACAACAGGTTCAAAAATATGAAGAATGTGATAATATTTAGCCACATTGATATTATGAAGGTAACATAATGTTTTTGACATTAGGTGTATCTCGTTTAACATGTAATATTGTCTTTTGCATCTAGTTCGACTATTGTGTGTCGATTAAGTCTAGCACTATCGTAATGTTTTGACTTTTATGAGTAGTTGATCCGGAAATCTTGATATTTGATTTATGATGATTCATTACATCTCTTGGCAGGACATAGCCGTGTTGACTTTCTTTCACAGTTAGATTATTTAAAAGAGTTAAGTTTAAACCTTAACCTTATTATCTTATATATATCATGCAAATTATTGATGTTTGTAAATCATTGAACTCAAATAATTTTCAAATTTGCTTTTCAACTTGGCTTTCTATTTTGGTTTCTTCTTATCTCTTTAATCTCTCTATCAGGAGGAGGGTGTTTGGTAGTAATTAAAATTAGATTTTTAGTGGATTGTGATAAAAGTTTTTGAAATGTGTGGTTAAAAAGATGTGAGACCCATGAAATATGTGGTTAATATTGATTATTTGACTTTAACTTGGATTAAAATCAGATTTTACTCCGGCTCAAATAGGCCCTAAACACCCTTCAAATATTTGTGTACTCCATCCAACATACCACTCTTATACCTTAACAATTGCAAATAAATGGAATGAACCAACAAAATTCCAGATGCTCTCAATGATTGGATTTGAACGTGTCAATTATAAATGCATCTCCCATAAATCGTGATAATCACGAGTAATACTTTAATCACGATTTTGATGTTGATCAAATATTCAATTCTTCCAAAATTATGGCAAAAACTGATAGAATAGCAGTACTAATCATGTTAATCATAATGATGTGGAAGTTAGGATGATATGAACCGTCCATTGACAATAATACACAATCAATCTTGTCCACGCCATTTATTAAATTCAAGTTTAGTACACTACACGTCAAATTTTGTTTCTCTACTTGAAGAAATGATGTTGACATCTAAATTATACGCGTAATCCTGCGTAATTAGCAAGGCAGCTTAAAATCTGAGTTTTTTTAAGAAATTTTTATATTAATTGATGATAGCAACAGAACATTTACATCATTTGATGAAGGCGATAGAATTAAGGATTTCTCCCATACTATGAATGAACATAGAACCTAAGCTGTAACAGATGTCTCCACTGAAACACCCGCGTAGTTAACTTCAGCAACTTTATCCGTTTCCCAAAGCTCGGGTAACGCTTCCTTGAGATTATGGATGCTTTCAAATGCGTAATCTGCACCTTTTACTCTCTGAGATTTCCCGACCTACATGGAAATTTGAGCGAACTTTAAGTCTATAATGGCCATTTTGTGCAAAATTTTTTGTCGACTTAGCTTATGGATAGGCAATGGAACTTACCAGCACAGTATCAAGGCCTACGCGTTTTCCAGCCTGAATGTTTCGTACGCTATCCTCGAAGAACAACTGCAGGATATAATGAAGACGAGTTTAAGTATATATGAGTAGTTGTAAGAATTATCTTTTAGTAAAAGATGTGAAAAATAGAAAGATAATCTTACTGTTCTATGTGGATCAATGTTGGCAATTTTAAGAGCCTTTTCAATGGCGTAATCTGATGGTTTGCAGACAATTGGTGTCTTTGGCAATCCTGTTGATACTGCATTAGGCTGAGAAAAATGTCCAATTATGTCGAAAATCTCAGGGCTTGTGCTAAGGGTACGAGACAATTGTGCGGACCCCAGAAA